TGTTTGCATACTTTATGAAAGCAAGAACAATAATTATTGATTTCGAGTTGAGTAAACTCTCACTTACAAATTCTAATCATCATGGTACACTGTTTATCTACCTTTTCTTTGAATTTCATAATTAGGTTTAGCTTGAACCTTATAAAGTAAATAATTAATATTTATGAATTTTATTTTATTTTATTTTTTGATGATTTTGCTATTGTGATTGAAAATATGTTTAGAGGAAATGGTTTTTGCTAGTACATATGAAAAATTAGTTTTGAATCAATTAAAATAATGCATGCAACGTATTTGACAAATGGAGAATGCGAATTTTCTCAAAAAAGTCACAATATCTCATTGAAAAATTAATTAGGTGTATACGTATGCCTTTTTGAAACTTTTAACATACCAATTCAAGCATTGTTTTATGTTAATGCATATGAAAAGGAATTTTTGAATAAATCAAATTGATGTATATAAGGTGTTTGAGAAAATGATTGTGTGAAATGGTGGCATTCTATGACTTTTCTTAAAAAAAAAAAATTCTCAATATCTTACTGAAACAATTAACTAAATACACAATGTGCATTGTTTTATGTTAATACATATAAAAAGAAAATTTTGAATAAATTAAATTGATGTATGCAAGGTGTTTGAGAAAATGATTATGTGAAATGATGGCATTTTGTGACTTTTCTTAAAAAAAATTCTCAATATCTTATTGGAACAATTAACTAAATGCATAATGTGCGTTTTTTGAAAATTTAAATATACGAATTCAAGCCTTATTTCATTTCAATACATATGAAAAAGAAAACTTCGAAGCTTATTATAGAGATGTCCAACTTGTTCATGAGAAATCCATTTTCTACAATAAATTTAATAAGTCTTTTATAGGATGTGTCAATTTAAAATGATATGGACAGCCTAGCATTCTTGCCTAGGTTGTCTCACTTTTTTTTGTTAGAAAGTGACATTGTTTGTCCTGAAATAGCCATTCACGATCCTTGCCTCTATTAACATTTTAAATTTTCAAAATGTTATATAGTATCATCAATTACACGCACCATGGCTACAGAAGTTAAAATAAAAACCATTACAGCAGTAAAAACGAATATATTAGCCAACTGAATACAAACAAGTTATGTACAACCATATAATATCAACTACCAATCACCTAACAACTAAAAGTGCAAAATATCATAATTTAAACACCATCACTTTTTCATGCCAGTCCTATACATTCATCTATATCTCATCAACATATCACGAATCAATTTCCTTTGACAACAATTCATTGTTCGTGTCATAGTCCTCATATTGCTTCTTCTTGACATAAGCATACAACTGATCACACAAACTTCTTCAAATATGTGGAATGTTAAATGTCCTAGGAATTTCATCTTACTTTTCATTGATGAAGTATTGCAGAAGAAGGTACTGTGGAACCATTGGTTGTAGACATGGTTTAAAAATTGCCACAGCAAAAGAATGGGTTAGATTTCTTTCCAAAGATATGTTTTTCTCTTCATTTGATGTTGAGTTCTTTATTTGTCTAAATTCTTTTCTTTTTTGCATATAGTAGAGATTGTGGAATATATGTCATTAGGTATAAACAGTGCTTCATTAATTAAAAGTTAGATGAAATGCTAAAGACATTAAACATTTAACGTATTTGAAGAAATTTGTGTGCTCAGTTGTACGCTTATGCCAAGAAGAAGCAAGATGAGGAATAAGACACAGACAATGAATGGTAATCAAATGAATTAGATTCATGATATGTTGATGGGATAGAGATGAATGTACGGGATTGATAAGAAAACGGTGATGGTGTTTAAATTTTGACATTTTACACTTTAAGTTATTAGGTGATCGGTAGTCGATATTTTTATGGTTGTACATAACTTGTTGTATTCAGTTAGCTGATAGACTTGTTTTTATTGCTATATTGAAGTTTATTTTAACCTTTGTGGTCATGATGCTTGTAATTAATGATACCATATGACATTTTGAAATTGTGAAATGTTAATAGGGATGGGAATTGTGAATATTTGGCTATTTTACGACGAAACGCAACCTGAGCAAGAATGCTAGGCTATCCAAATCATTTTTAAACGAACACATTCTACAAAAGATTTGGTAAAATTAGAAAATGGATTTCTAATGAGCAAGTTGGACATGTCTATAATAAGTTTCAAGAGTTTCTTTTTCTTATGTAACAACATAAAGGAACCACAAGTTTTTTTTCTGACGGGGCCTTTATAGGTGATACGTGGGCAGCACCTGAATTGCATATTTTTTTTATTTTTCATTTTTTTATAACTGCCAATGAAACTACGCCAAATGAAAATCTGTGAAAATCCTGTTAAAGTTTTCTTGTACTTGTAGCATTGTTTTAACATAAAATAAGGTTTGAATTGGCATGTTCAAATTATAAAAAAACATACATGTATGCATATCGTTAATTACTCCAGTGAGATACTATGACGTTTTTTTAGAATGTCACCTTTTCACATACTTTTTTTTTCCAAACACATTGCAAGTATTAATTCAATTGATTCATAGTTTTATTTTTCATATGTATTTACATAAAACAATGTTTGGATTTGTATGTTAAAATTTCAAAAAATGTATACGTATACATTTAGTTAATTGTTCCAATGAGATACTATGATTTTTTTTTAGAAAAGTAACAAAATGATTATTGACCTTAATAGCTTGTCGAGGCCATGTGTACTCATGAGTCGAGTATCTGGATGGTTCACACCAATTCAAAAGGTTTTCGAGCCGAACACTTTACATTTTTAGCAAATTACAAGATTTGAATATCTTTGATCTTATTTGTATTAGAGTATCTTTAATAGACGCTTTAAAAGTGAAATGTTCTTTATTTTAAAGAATCGAACCTTAAAATTCAACTCCAAGAAATCATTTTTAGTTTAAATTTTCAAAATAGATAGTGAGTTTGACTTTCTATCACGAATGCATTTAATAATATTCTAAGTTGCAACAATTCATTATTTAAATTATATATAATATTTTAGTAATTCACATAAATATATATATAATATTTATGGAAAATGAGGGGAAAATGCAAAAAGGGTTTTCCCCGTCATAAAAGGGTTTGCGCCCGAGATACAAAATGCAAAATCCAAACAATAATGAATATTGAGAAAAAGTAAAAAAAATATATATAAAAATATAAAAATAAAGAGTTCGTTGATTAGAATCTTGTGTAAGATTAAGTTTCGTTTGGTCCTTATTATTTTAAATTTTAATAATTGAAATAGTATTTTTTTTTTAAATTGAGAGAGAGAGCGTGGATAGTTGAAAAAAAAAAATCCTTTCCTCACATTCTCACCCGTCTGTTTCATATTTATATAAAAATGAAAATAAAAATATAACTGTTACATCCTTGCACAAGATAGAAATTCAAATATTTTTTCAATTTTTTTTTTTTTGAAATTTAATCTGCTTTTTTCCCGATTGTAATTAAGTACGTTTAATAATGACATATTAATCTATATATTTTTTTCCCAAATTAAAATTTGCGCCAGGCTGAATCAAACCTCAGCTCTGTTATCTGATCTCTTCTCTTCGGTTAAATCAAAATTGAGATGCCACAAACCCTCGACTCCTGACTCTCGCTTGGAGTTTCAGATCGAGGTAATTATAGCTTGTGTTATTTTTTCTGTTTTATGATTTTGAATTATTGGAATTGGCTTAGTTTTGTCTGCTTGTTGCAATTGGGGAACTTTATTCGTTAGGGTTTTTATTAGAACTTTTTATGTATCTCTGTTTCCTCGCTTTTCAGTACGAAAGACTTCATTCCGTTTTCATGCAGTCTCTTGGTGACTATTTGTAGCTTTTTTTATTTACTACCATAATTAAATATTTCCGTAGTTTGATTTCTGTAATTTTTCGTCTAATCGATTAGGTTGACAGAATTTGGAGATATGGCAATTTATTTTATTTATAATGAATCTGGCTCTCGTTAATACGACTTTCTGTTCTGCATAAATTTAAGACAAAAAAGAGTGTGTTGGGAACTGAACTTAAGTCCTCTAATCAAATTATCAAGAAATGCGGGAAGAAACATTGGCAAATTAAGATATTAAACACTTGAGATTGGATATGAATCATAATGATGATTTCATATTTGGTGGTAAAATTTGGTCATCAAACTTGTGAGGTTCTACAGTGCTTTCAAACTGTACAAAATTTTCTTTTTTCCTTGTCCGAACTCTGTATGCTCAACTTTTTGCATATGGTTGATTAAGAATTAGAAAGTAAGAATTTCAAAGTTGAGATGCTAGATGTATTTCATTGCATTATATGCCCTTGATATTTCGCCCACTTTGGGCAGCAAAGAGATTTTAATATCTACATCTCATATGCAAAACCACAGAAAAGTTCAGATGCATGCTAAACGAATATTTTCCTACTTATTAACTTTCTTCTGGATGTTAATCACACATTGGTTTAATGCCTGATGTAGTAACTAAAAAAAATAAAAAAAATTATTTCTAGCCCTCATGTTGTAAATTCCTGGCAATTCATATTATGTTGGCAGTTATGATATTTTGGGCTTGTGTTACTCAAAATCTGCAATTGATGTTACATTTAGGTTCTTATTTCCAAGAATGGGGCTGTAAAATTCTGCTTTAGTACTTGTTTTTCATGATGATAAAGAAAACTGGGGCAATAATATGACTTTGTTGATTGAAACTCTGGGTACCTTTGTTGGCATTGATAAACCAGACAGAGAGTATGTTTGGCAAGTGTTTATAAACTCTAGCTAAAACTCAAATCTCTTTTTATTTACATATTTCATATGACCCCCAAGTACTATTCACTTATTCATCACTCATTTCTATGTGTATATAAACACAACTAGTTATAAATACTTGCCAAACATCTGCTTAGTTTTGATATTGTTAAGAACTTTGAATGAGGCGTTGGTATTTTTTATTTTAAAGAATTTTGTAGTTTCAGTAGTGGAGGTGTATTAAAGTATGGCACGATAAATTTGTACATTTGAAGGACAACCTTTAATTGTTTGAGCTGATTTTTATGTGGATAGTACTCAAAGGAAGCTCAAATAAATGAACACGATTAGTTTCTCCTGTTGATATATATTTCCATAGTTCACTCCACTGTGAAATGATATTTTTTTTCTTCATGAATGTACACTTCCAGGAGTCAAAATATAAGTGGGTTGAGACTGATAACTAAGCGTTTTCATTACAAAAGTATCCTTTTTTCAACTCAGTAAACAAAAAACTATGTAAAATCAGTAAAGAATAATAATGAGAAAAGGATTGCCCTAAACTTTTTTCCATTAGTTATGAAGAAATGGTGAAAAACGACCAGTAAATAAGCAGAAAAAAGCAAGGAAAGAAATTCTTCTTCTGAAGTCCCTGCTCGCCTTACTTCCGTAACCCTGTTTATGTGATTTTGGTGGGTTCTCTGAGATCTTATTTTCCTGAATTGTGTATCTTTGATTCTTGGAATATTATGCTCGGCCTTGACAGAGTTACTAAGTTACGGTGTGAGCAATAGCGTGAGTTTGCCTAATCTGGTGTAAACCCTTATGTCCTAACCGGATAATCCAGTTAAGTCTGAATAATCTTAATTTAGTGTTTAATTTTGTGGGTGTAATCGAAGCCAAATGAAGAAGTATTGGATGACAATTATTCTCTGTCCATCTTAATACGGTTTGCCAAACAAACCCTATTCTAGGGTTTTTACCTGTAATATCTTATGATATTGAGGTTAAAATTCTTGTGTGTCCGAAACTAGGAGAAATTCTTAAGTGAGTGCATATTTATGTTAAACACACTTCTCGGATTTGCATTTAAACACAAATTTCTTCTTGTTTAACTTTTTTACTTTTACACGAAGGTTCTTATGAAGTTGAGGATATAATTTTGTTTGTTAGAAAGTAGTCAGAAATTGTTCGGTGAATTCATAATTATGGTTAACACCCCTCGGATTTGCATTCAAAAACAAACTTTCTCTTATAAATTGTACATAAAGGTTCTTATAAATTTGAGGATATTATTGTTATTTGTTGGAAACTTGTTTGATAATTGTTCAGTGAATTTATATTTATGATAAACAATCTTCTCAGAATTGCATGTAATGATTATAGATTTTTACTTGTATGTTTTACTTGATTGTTCCTCTGAAGTATTTTCTTTTCTACTTTGGTTCTTCCTAGAAAGTTTTCTCAAATGGCTTAACAGGCTGCTTCTTGTATTTTAAGCGAATTATTCCTTTTTGCAGCTCAAATTATTTCTCACTCAAGAATTTCAATGGGATACCACTCAAACAAAACTAAAAAATTCAGAAAGAAAAAACTCTCATCGGAATCCTCAACCTCCATTGACCATTCCTCTGCCACATTGTCATCACCGTCCTCCTCTGATGAATTTGAGTCCTCAAAACGGCACAAACGAACCCATAAACGACGACATGGTAAACGGGAAGAGGGTCGTAAAAGCAAGAAATCGCGAAGAGATTATAAAGAGGAGAAGAAGAAGCATACTAAAGAAACAAGAAAGGAGAAAAGAAGAGAGAAAAATAAAAGAAGGTATGGATCAGACGACCAAGGTGGGTCCGGATCGGAGGAGTCGGAACCTGAGAGACGATGGGAGACTCCAGAGGTTGTGGCTAAATATATATTAAAGGAGTTTCCGGGTGTTTCTGGGGACTTGGAACAGGTATTTACTATTAACCTTTCTGTGCTTAGTTTAAAAATGAATTATTTTAATTTTTAGTCTTTGATTATAGTGATTTAGTATATTTTTCTTTATTTGAAAAATTTTAACAGTTTACATCTTCATCGAAACAATTGGCTTTACGGTTTGTTAAGTACTGGGTGTCTGAAATATAAGTTTTTTTGTTTAAAACAAAGCTGAGATTTTTTTGTGCAAAAAATATATGAATATAAAATTATGTGGAAGTCTTAATGAATAAAAAGATGGGTATTTTTCTTTTCTTTTACAATTTGACTCTTGATAAGTAGTTATAGCCTATAGGTAAAAATAAATTGTGGAGGCTGGATAGCAATGTTAGGTGAAATAAAAATGAAAACCATATTTATTATGAAAACATAAAAATGGAAAGAAACTAAGTTGATAGATTAGGTGACGGTGAGTGAAAATTCTTATGAAGTTGAGAAAACCATTATTCATTTGTTTTGCTTATATATTGTGCTTTACAAATATAGATACTCTACACTATGATTATGGGTTTAGTCATTTTGTAATGGTTGTCTCTAGACTTAAGGTAATTAGAGGATTTTGTCCCAATTTGTTTCAAAAGTTTACCGTGAAGTACATAAGTAATTATTTTAATTGATCAAAAATTAGAAATTAGTTACTTATTTTGACAATATAGTAAGAGTCACTTTCAAAATAACTTATAATTTCTTATGGCTTAGCTAATTATGCTTGGTAGCTCTAATATTTGGACTTGCCATCTCAAGTAGGATGCACTGAGCAGATAACTATTAGATTGTTTAGCATCCTTTTTTCCCTTATCAATCTTATCTATTGTGGTTTGTTAGCAGTTTGCTAAATTTAATCGAGCAATGGTGTCATTTTGTAGTGTGTATCCTAATAGTGAAATGCATTTGGTATGGATTCTACTCATGTCTAGGTGGTTGCAATAACTTTAAAATGCTTTTGTACCTTCTTGTTTATGATTTTAACCTGAGATGACAGTGATTCTCATGTCAATACTTCACAACAATCCTCATGCTATGATGCTTGGATTGGGGTACGGGTGCGAATACGTATCTAAGTATTGAATCTTTTATTTTTCTAAAAAATAGGATACGAGGACATGACCTAAAAAGTCTAATTTCGGACATGGGTACATCTTTCAAACTTTAAATTTTTTTACTAACCCAAGATGTTATTTTAAATATATCAAAATCAATTGTTCATAAAGAAGAAAACGAGTGTTGTATAAGGAGTTAAAACGAATAAAATAGAATTTTAAGTTTAGGGAAAAATTACTAAATGTAGATAGAATAGAAAATGAGGGACTTAGTTGCAATTTGGATTTAGTGGAACACTAAGTAGCACTATATGAAATCTATTTTCATTTTATACAAAGAAAACTCTAAAACATTGATACAAAGAGGGAAAGAAGGGGAAAAAAGAAGAAAAGGGAAAGAAAAGAAAGAAGGAAAAAACTAAGGCCGCCGCTGCCTTTCTCCACCGTTTCGGTAGCGATGCTAGCTTTATAGAGAGCAGAAACGGGAAAAAAATAGAAAGAAGAAAAAGAAAGAAGTAGAAACGACAAAGTGTCTTGTTGAAAATTGGAGGATCCGACACATATCCTATATCCATGTCGTGTTATGTCGATACGGGTACTTCGTCCATTTCGAAGATTCCGAACGTCAGAGTTCATATGCATGTTCATTGGTCTAATAAAGTTTGGTTTGATGATGAAACATAACATATTCATTCTCATAAATGATTTTTATTTAGCTTTTGCAAATGATTGACGACGGACAAGCTGTTGATATAAGCGGATTATCCGAAAAGTCGTTGGTCAAGCATCTCAGAAAGCTGTTCATGTCCTTGAATCTTAAAGAAAGTGGCAATCTCGTTTTTCTGCTTCCATCAAAAGTGGGTCCTACATTGGAGGTTGTTGGACCAATTATCCGCTCTCATGCCCAACCTCAAAAGCAGCCACTTAATTATCCAGTATCACAGACAGAGGACTCCATGATGGCAGATTCAGAATGCAAAAATATGACTGAAAATGATTTGAATGATAAAAAGGAAGATTCTGTTGGTCCAAAAAGGAGGTAAAAGACCCGTCTCTCTTTCACACACCAACAAACATGCGAAGCAACAATTGTTTAAGCATGCTTCATTTTTATGGGAAAAAAATGCAGTTCACACATGTACTACAGTTGAATCAAGAAGATATATGTACTTTTTTATATTTTACTTGAATTTGTGAAGTGGTGGAATCGGTAAATTAATGTTTGTTTGCTTACTTGAAAGAAATGTTTAACATTTTTAAGAATAGAAGATGAACTAGTAATTCAATATGGGGTTTTCTATTGTTTGTTCCATTTTTTCTTAAATCATGTGCAATTATAGTTCTACTGCTTTGGCATCATAGCACTCATGTTGGTTCTTGCAGGATGATTGGACCTGAAATGCCATCAGCTGAGTTGCTTTCTGTAGCAGCTAAATTAACTGAAGCTGAAGCTGAACTGAGGTATTGACAGATATTTATAATTTGTGGAGCGTTTAGTTGTTTGCAACTGAAAAAGGAAATTTTTTCCCCATTAGGTTCTTTCGCATTTCAAGAGTCTTTACATTAAGTTTACCTTGTTGAAATTATGAGAGTACTACTTGATCATTAGAAATTTTAGGCCCTCGATTGTGGTTTCTATCTTAGTTTTATAAATATATCCAGAGAGGCTGAGTTGGACGAAGACACCGAATTATTTATTGGACCTCCACCTCCTGCTGTGGTCACTGAAGCTGAGTCTGCAAATGAGGCAGAGCGTTTTGAAGAGGTTCATCTCTCTCCCCCTTTCCTAACAGGAATCCTCTGTTTTCACACATAATATTTAACTCTGTGCCCACTTACATCCTCAACTCATAAAGCCTTGTACATTTTTCTTAATATGCAGATAAAATGATAAAGAGAATTGCTTAATCACCTTCTACATAGCACGCATTTGCGTTAGTTGCTAATTACAACTCTATATTGTGTCTGCATGGAACTGAACTTATTTCTTTTGTTCAGATTACAAGGATCATGGGTGCTGAGGATGATAGTCCATACGATGTTCTTAGTGTCAACAAAAATATGTCAGCTGAAAACATAAAGAAAAGGTATGCATGTAGATGGCTGTTTGTGGAGTTGTACTCTCAGTTTGCAAATGGTCTTTATATATTGATTCCACTTGGTGCGAGTCCTTTCAAACTGTCAAAGCAAGCGCAAGTTTCCAATTGCTGATAAAAATGTACAAATTTAAAGAGAGAGTTTCTTTTTTCTTTTTTTTCAAGGTTTTTCTGTTTTCCACATGATCTTTATACATTGATTCCGCTTGGTATGCAGTCTTTAAGTTGTTGAGTACTGATGCAAATGCCAATTGCCAATGAAAATGTAAAAAATTGAAGAGAGATGTTT